GTCGGTTTAATAATTTGAAAAGGTTGGAATTAATTTCTAAACAATTCTTTGTATGATAAAATAACGATTTACTTTGAAGAGATAGATACTACTTTATTATATTCATTATTTAAAGATGTCTGACTTCGGTTATTTGATATTACTGTTTAAAATTTAAGTCGTCATTATTTTCAATTTTTCATTAAAATTTTATTTTTCAATTTAAAGTAATTATAATTTTTAAATCAATACTTTTGAATTTCATTCTTATATTAAAATACCTTGTTCTTCAAATTTTGGCAACTTATACTCTAAAATCAATTCCTTTCAAATTCTTTATTTTACATGAAAATTTGCGCCTTTTCTTTCCTCAATAATTCTTAATGGCTCTAATTCTGTATATCAATTAAAGTGAATTAAATTTTTATTTTTAAAATATATCACTCTTTAATTAATTACGTTTTTCATAACTTTATACACGTTTTTGAAACATGATTGGCTCTCTTTATGTATATACATCAATATAAATTTAATTTAAATTTTTATCAAAGATTATTTTAAACTTAACCGTTAAATTTAAAACTCTATTCATATAAATCATTATAACAAAATTTAAAATTATTTAATTATTCATTTCTTATGTGAAAATTAATGTATCATATATTTCTAAAAATATATTGAATTAAATTATTATAATTATTTGTTTTTGATAAGTGGAAATTTATTTTTTTATAAGTTATATAAAAAAATAGTTTAATACTTGAGGATATAATTTACATAAATAAATGATAATTTTTTTAGTGTCTATAATACTCCTAACAATTATTGCTCTCATTATATAAGAGCGATTATTTTTTTAAATAATTAATATAAAAATTATATTGATAATATATTTTAATCGATCATAGTATAAATTATTTTATATTAAGAGTAGACTAAAATTAATTTTTTAAATATGCTAATTGTTAACTTTTTTATATTTATTTTATTACATAACTTATATTAACTAGATATTTTTGTATTTTTCATAAAAAAATATAACTAATTAAGTTAAATTTATTAAAAATACTAATTCTGATAAATTAATAATAATTTTTTTTATAAAAATAAGTTAAAAGAGTAATTTATGTGTTATGATCCAAAGCGCGAATTATTTGGAAATTTGACCCCACTAAATGCCTCATAGTCAAATTTAGAAAAGTATAGCGACGTTGTATAAGAAAAGTGGTTATCATATTTAATGAATATGTTAAATTACGGTAAATTAAAGGCAAATTTTAGTTTCAATTAAAACTATTTCCTCTGACCATTGCTATTGTTTAATAAACAAAAGTGTCAATAAGCACGTTTTGTTTTTAAATATGTTAGAAAAACATGTTTCTTCTCTCCAAAGTAAGTCGGAATATTAATTCTGCACGTGATCTTTTACTTTGTCAACCAATCCACATCAACTGTACGCATATAATCACGTAAGATGGACATGTTCAAGACCACAACTTTATCAACACTTAAAATGAATTATAAGATAATTTTTAAAATAATTAATATAGGCTTATTTTTAAAAAATAAAATATCTGAATAGAAAATTATAATAAGTTTCAAATATACTAAAAAATACTTATAATAATCACCTGTTAAATGATAATTCTTATTTTTATAAAATAATTTTAATTATTAACAATATTTTGTTAACCTGATGTATAAGAAAATAAAAATCTAAAACACGTGCTTAAGTGTCTCCTCACAGCGGGCACTGTCTTTAAATATGAAAAAACGATGTGCCAACAACACCTAATTAATGTAAAAAAAGTCTTCATGCCAACATTTTAGGGAAATTAAATCCATCAATTATACATGTGATTGTTTTTCAGAACTTTATATTTATATCGTGATCTGACAGGTAACTAAACAGCACGCCACGAACTGTTCAAATAGAATATATTATCTTCATTCTAATTTTTAAAAAACAATTTAATTTACAAAATTAAAATATTAAAAAATTGTTACTTATCAATAACTTATTAATGTTAGATTAGCCTTTGTAGTAATTTTTTAATGAAAATTAATTTATTATAATAAATAATATGAATGTATACTAATAATATAGTATATTATATCAACGTGCAAATAATCTTATTAGTAAAACTATCAATATATAAATATGCATTAAATATTATCATGATGCATTATTTGTTAATATAAATCTTCAAAATTTATATTAACAATTCATTATTTTTAAATGAATACTATACTGATAAATGTTATCTTAACACTTGACACGTTTTATTTACATATAAATATTCATTTTTCATAGAAAATTTTCCTCGTATTAATTGATTACAAACTTAGTAAACCTCCTTGCAATAGTTAAAGCTAAACATATCATTCTTAAAACAAATTAAATAATAATGACCAAAAATATGATTTTATTTTAGAAATTGTATTTTGAGAATGAAATTTTCAAACAAAAAAAGTCATATATCAAACGTCATCTTAAAGTCTTATGAAAAAAAAGTAAAATTCTGTAATCTCCGTCAATGATATCCTTGTATGATATGTTTATAATTACATCATCCTTTTTTAAATTAATATGATCAATATTTCTCTCAAGAAGGGTGAGCTATAACCAATATCCAGGTTCACCATTTGTACAACCATGATCCTTTCTGATAAAAAGCTAACAGCTTGTTTATTGAAGAAAGCAACCTTTGAGGCTTCCAAAAATAAGCTAATAATGACTTTGTCTTTACTAATTAAAACTTGAGAAATAAAATGATTTATTTCCAACTGACTTAATTCTATTATTTAGTCTTTCTATTATGTTAACAAGTGGTTTTAACTCTTTAATATTTTTTTTATTCGAATTCAAGCTTGAAGTTTTTAATTATTACATTTTAATTTTTTCTTATTTTTATTTATACATAACTTTTTTTATATTTTACTCAAATAATTAAATGTTTTAAGTAGATTTGAGATTAAAAATATTAAAATATTAAAATTAAATATTTAATATAATTTAAAAGATTTTATAATATATGAATTAATGTTTCAATAATTAGAAGTTATGAAAAAATTTTAAAATTGCTTTTCCTTTCTTTTATTTCACTTTTTCTTTCATCCATTTAACACTCATTTAATAAGTAGTATCAAATAAATATTTCCAATATAAGAATGAGATAAGTCTTCAATGTAGGGGTTCCACAGGAAAGAGACATCTTGGATATTATTCAATTCAATACTAGGTCTTGATTAAAGGAATATAACAAAAAAAAAAGTATGTATTTCTTTAAGTGGGGCAAAAAACTTTTAGAGAGTGTTTGTTTTTTGTTTTTAAAAATATTTTTTCTTAAAGTAAAAAATAAAATAAAATTTATTTGTTAACATAAATTTTATTTTCATTTTTTAAAATATTTTTTAAAAAAATTAAAAATCAAAATAGAAACAAATAAACCCTTATTCTTTCTTTAAAATCTGTCAATAGTTGATGAGATAGCAAAAATGAAAGTAGAAACATTTAGATCCCCTTTCCATCTATCTTCTTCAAATTCTTAACTAAACAAAGTTATGTTTATGATACCCCTTCTCAACCAATGGTCATGCATGAGAGCTTCAAATTTTTTGCAATATGTCAAACAAACTTAAGAAACAAAACATGCTCATGAACCGTGAATTCTATACCTACGACTTACATATTCCATTCAGATGCATGAATCCATGTTATCGTAATAATGCGATGCTGTCACAGAATTTAATGATTCTAATCTCTATCTATATGTGTCTAAAAATATACCACGTATTCAAATAATGTGTTTTGACTTGTATAAAAGTTATAGAGATCATGAATTGGTTTTGAAAATTTACATAACATAATTTTTTAATCAATAAATACCTGTTATATAAAGAGTTATTACTTTTTATAATTTTTTATTTTCTTCCTTACATCACTCGATTATCTCACACTTTTCTCTCTTTATATTTTTTAGTTAATTATGAACAAAATTATCAAATAGAATTTTTCTCACATAAACAATATGTATTTCTCATCTTTTGTGAATCTAGATATGCCAACTGGTCTGAGTCTAGAATATTGAAAACTTAATAGTGAGTGGTATTCCTTTTAATTTGGGCTTTCTAACTTTTTAAAATGTAACAGCGCATAGTTAAAGAGAATTGTAGAACACATGCAGATCCTTAGAATTTAGAAAGCATAGTCAAGGATGCAGATTTACACGTATAGGCAGAGAGATATTGTGAATCGCTAAGAAAAGTCTATGCGCTATCTTGCTGGTGGTTTACATCTCCCATTCTCAGTAATATACTTAATATCATCGATATTGTTTATTACTAGGAATTGTCTAGCATTTTCAAACGTGCTGCACTTTATCAGAAATTTATCAGCAAGTCCTCTGGCTATTATATTTTTACTAGGAATTTTCGTAAAAGTCATATTTTTTAATAATTTTTATTAATTTCAATTTTTAGATTTAAATTTAAACATAAAAAATATTAACTTCTTGTTAAAAAATTATATTTATTATCAAAGATATAAAATATAATAAAAATTATTTTTAAATAAAATATTACAATTATTAGTTATTTAAACTAATCACTTTAAGGCTGAGTTACTATATATATAAATAATAAGATAGAACTTTACTGCAATTTTTTAAGTATTATATTATTTATTAATCGAAATTAAAGTTTTATCTTTTTAATCTATAATAACATAATTATAAATATTTTATTAAAATAAAAATTTAATTTAAATCTATAAATAAAACTAAAAATATCTAAAAAGCAATGTAAGTTTTATCCTATATAATGACACAAATAATTATGTGTTTTTATTTGTTTTATTTTTTGGCAAAAGTATGTGACTACGTGCTGCCTGAGCTGGCTGAGTTAAATGAAGTGGTAAGAGAATGCCTATTGTGTGTGACTGGGTAATATAGTAAAAACGAAAATAGGATTTCCTTGAATATGTCCAAAATTGTACATAAAATGCTGGTTCTATAAATACAATGACTGGGAGGTGTTTGCTTAGAAGAAGAACCATGGTGTCCTCTAAAGTAGCAAGTTGTGAGAGCTCTGAGGCAGTGTTGAGTGTTCAAGAGCACATAAAGAAACCACTGACTTCAGTTCCGCAACGCTATATTCACAATCATGAACCTTCAGCTTCCCAAGATAAAACCTTGTGTCATACAATCCCAACCATCAACCTAAAAAAGCTGATTCATGGAGAAGCTACTGAACTTGAACTGGCCAGATTGCACTCAGCTTGCAAGGATTGGGGTTTCTTTCAGGTTCAAAACTCGCCTTTACATTTCATTTTCTTGTCATTTTGAGAATATCTTTCTTGTTTTTTTTTTTTTTTTTTTTTACTTTATATATGCTTTATTTATGCATATAGTTGGTGGACCATGGAATTAGCCCGCTAGTGTTGGAAACGCTTAAAGATGAAATTGAAGGATTCTTTAGGATTCCCTTGGAAGAAAAGATGAAGTACAAGATAAGGGCAGGTGATGTTGAAGGCTATGGAGCTGTGATCAGATCAGAGGATCAAACACTTGATTGGGGTGATAGGTTATTTATGATAACCAACCCTCTTAGCAGAAGAAAACCACATCTTTTCCCGGAGCTCTCTTCATCCCTTAGGTATGGTATACAGCTCTCTATATATCATAACTTCTGTCATCACTTTACCTCATCATGTATATATGTATGCAGGAATATCTTAGAATCATACATTGTGGAGGTGCAAAATGTTGCCATGACATTTGTTGTGATGTTGGGAAAAGCCCTGGAGATAGAGAAGAAAGAGTGGGAGGAGAGGTTTGAGGACGGGATGCAATCTGTGAGGATGACATACTACCCTCCATGCCCACAACCAGAGCTAGTGATGGGTCTCACTGCACATTCAGATGCAACAGGAATCACCATCCTTAACCAAATGAATGGAGTGAATGGCCTCCAGATTAAGAAAGATGGGATTTGGATCCCAGTCAGTGTCAGCTCAAATGCACTTGTTGTCAACGTTGGGGATATTCTAGAGGTTTGTATCAATAATCCTCTCTCTTTCATATTTCGTTCTGTATTTTCATAGCCATGCATATTGTGTATATATCTATAACACAACACTCTAGGGTGTTAAACCTCATTTATACTTGTAAATACTAATATAAATACGTTAAGTTAAAATAAAACGTATACGAAGCAAACTTAATCCTATCTTATATTTTTCTTCTTCCCTCCCTATTTCCACAGAAAAATACTAATCCAAGTGCAGCAAAAATATTGCTGTTTTTTTATATATATGATAAAAACATATGAAAAAAAAGTAAAATGGGTGTAAAAAATTTATGTAAGTACTAAAACGCAAAATATTAAAGGTAGGTTTAGGTATGTATTTTAATACAATATTTATTTAACATTTTTTATCACATAAAATTTATAAAATAAATTAAAATTCGTAAATATTATAATTAATTCTTTAGATGCTGGGAAATAAGGAAGAAAAAAAAATCAGTTCTTTGTCTAGTTGGAGGAGAGAACATTTTTTTTTAGCTTTAGAAAAAAAAAAGTATTTTGCGGGCAAGTAGGGGAGGAGAACGTTGGGCAGGAAGAAATTTTTTATGTATTTTTTATTTTTCTTAATTAAATTATAAAAAGTATTGACATAATACAAAGAATATAAAAGCTGTTAAGAATTTCTTTATTAATTTTTTTATGATTTTTTTAATATAATTTAATTATTTACTCATCTAAATAAATAAAAAGAATTTTATTTATTTATTTTTTCTTATTTTAACTCATCTAGACATCAAATATTTTTTTTACTTTATTTTTATTCTTTTTTCCTTTATTTGTTTCTTTCTATTTTACTCCTCAGCCAAACGAAACTTTAAATATTTCCTTAATCATAGACAATTTTACAGGCTCAAAACACATGCAACAGAAATAATCAAACCCTTGAAAACATAAATCAATACCATAAAAAATAAATATTTTGACATGATAATATACCTTATCAAACACGAGCGTTTCCTACACAGATTGAATACTAGTGAGTTTGGTCGGATACGAAACGACATTTTAAAATACATGCATGCGAATATCATCGAAGCTTGAGTTTTCTAACCAAAGGCTTGAAAACGGCTTAATCAGCAATCACTGAGTTAGGTCGAACATGAACTTATTTTAACGTATATGATATTACCAGAAATTTCATATGAAAACTTAATTTCTATTAGTGTGTCATCAATCATGTATACTTCATTGTTCAAAGAATTTCACTTATATATAACTAACCATTATTTAATATGGTGACATGTACTTATATGATAAAGACATATTGAACAGCTCTCGAGTTTCTAGTAGATCATTTAGATTTATAAAACTTTGTCGGATATGTAATTTTCTTAGTTATTATTATATATGGCTCCTACAAAGTTAAAGAATTATTTTATAAGACATGTTTACTGGATACGTGTTTAGAACAAAACAGGCAGAGCATTTGTACCACCAAATTATTGTAAGGAGCACGGGTGTAACTTTTTACTAGCTACAAGAAAAAAATGTTCATAAATCTAGTCAATCCGAAGGACAATTCATGTTATTGACTAAAAAGAAAATAGAAAATTATGAAAGAAAAAATAACAAATAAAATAAAACATGTGTTGTGCATGCTTTTTTATTTGCAAATTGTAAAACTATACAATATAACGCTTGAATTCGCAGATTATGAGCAATGGGTTATATAAAAGTGTTGAGCACAGGGTAACAGTAAATTCCGAAAAGGAAAGGATTTCCATTGCTATGTTCTTCGCCCCCAAGTTTGAATCAGAAATTGGACCTGCAGTTAGTCTCACAAATGGAGAAAATGTTCCTCACTATAAAAAGGTCAAAATGGAAAAATATGTCCAAGATTTTTTCGCTCGCAAGCTGGATGGAAAATCATACTTAGAGCATATGAAGATCAGAGATGAAAATAATACCAACGCCGCTGAATAGTTCCAGTGATTAATCTTCATATTACTAAGGGTATATGTGTTTGTGTTTAATCAATGTATAAAAGACTACTTAAAGAGCATTCAGTGTGCTTCAGGAGTTCAAAAGTTTGATAGTTATTCTACAAATTGATACCACCATATGCTCTTATATGTGACATAATTGCCAATAAATAAGAGCAAATATGTGTGTATTTATCTTTGTTAATTTTAAGAGTTTTAAGAACCCTGGAGTTTAACTTGATTGTGTAAATTGTCGTCGATGATCACTGGTTTAAACTGTCGTGTGTACATATGAGTAAGAATCTGTGTTAATTTTGACTGCTTACGGTGTTGAATAGTTGATAAAAAAAGGTCTTTTCGTCGGGTCTAATTATTTCCTTCTTAAAACAACAAAAAAGATAGATTGTATGTAAAATACTTGATGCCGTATCTATATTTACCACAAATTCTACTTTAATTATATTTATAATTGAAATTTTAATAATTTTTCACATTTAAAACTGTTTGAATGTTTTTACGAGTCAGAAAAAGTTTGAGTCTAACTCATTTCAAAAACTAACTCATAATGTAAAAATTGTTTTAAGGAACGTTTAAAAATAATGTTTAGTTAAATATTTATTTAATAATTTTTTAATAACAATTTATACTATAAATTTAATATTAAAATAAATCAAAAATTATAAAAATAAATTAAAAGAAACTTGTAAACTATTTTTTAAAACTATTTCTGAACTCTTTTTCAAAAAAATTATATTGAAAAGAATTACCACAATACGGTGTTTTAAGGAAACTTATGAAAATAAAATAATTGTTTTAAAAATAACTAAAAGTTATTAATCATTGGTTCTTTTTACTTTTTCAAAATTGCCTAATTTTTTTTTAAAAAATTACTATTTTTTGAAAATTTACTACTCCAAGTTTTGATGTTTTAAAATTTTTAAATATATTTTTAAAAGATTGTTATTGGTAAATTACTGTATTTACACTAAAATTTATTAATGAAGAATTTTAGGTTTCATATTTTTATAATTTTTTCAAAAAGTATATATTATTTTTAAATAGCATGTTTAAAAAATAGTAATCCCTCTTTTAAACAGAGCATTAAGACTTATGGCAATAGTTGAATCGTACCAAAAGCTGAACAATCAAATAATAAATAATAATAGTTCTTCAAGATCTAGGACCAGGAAACATCACATAGACTTCTGTAGCTGAAATCAGAAACCAAGTCAATGAAGAGAGAGTGAGGGTGAATTGTGTAGACAACTTTGAGATCCACATCATGGCTGCAGCGGTAGTGGGTGGTGCTCTTCTGTCAGCTTCACTTCAGGTGATTTTCGAGAGGTTAGCTTCATCTCAGGTTGTTAACATGTTGCGTGCAGCAAAACTTGATGACAAAATCCTCTCACGACTCCACACAACGTTGTACGCTGCCAGTGCTGTGCTTGATGACGCTGAGCACAAACAAGTCAAATTTCCATCTGTCAAGAATTGGCTTCATGATCTCAAACATGCTCTCTACCTTATTGAAGACTTAATGGACCAAGTTGCCACCAAAGCCACGTGCCACAAAAAGGAGGTAAGTCACAACGTTTTCTCCAATTACTTTCGTGATAGAGAGTTGGTGAAAAGGGTAGAAAACGTTGTTAATATCCTTGAATCAGTCATGAAGTACCAAGTTGTTCTTGGCCTTCAAAAGGGTGTGGGAGAGTGCTTCTCATGGTAAACACCTTCAACATCTTTGATAGAGAGTTCTGCTGTGTTTGGGAGAGATGATGATAAAGAGGCCATAGTCAGCATTTTGTTGTCTGATTCTGCAAGAGAAAATAGATTATCTGTGATTCCCATTCTTGGTATGGGTGGGATTGGGAAGACTACCTTAGCCCAACTTGTGTATAATGATGATAGAGTGAAGCACAACTTTGTACTCACTGCATGGGTTTATGTGTCTGAAGAGTTTAATGTTTCTAAGATCATAAAAGCCATATTAGAGGCCATTACATCCCAAAGAAGCAACACTGAGGAACTGGATATCTTGTTGCTTGAATTCAAGAAGATGGTATCTGGAAAGAAATTTTTGTTCATCCTTGATGACATTTGGAATGAGAATTATGTGAATTGGGATCATTTGAGAAGTTATTTCTTTTATGGTGCTCAAGGGAGTGCAATTGTAGTTACTACTAGAAGTGAAAAGGTGGCATCTTTCATGCAAACCGTTTCATCTCATCGCTTGGGTCACTTGTCAGATAAGCATTGCTGGGATTTGCTTGCAAAGCATGCATTTGGTGACAGATGTTGCAAGGTGGATCCAGTTTTAGAGAGAATTGGTAAAGATATTGTTAAAAAATGCCAAGGATTGCCTCTTGCAGTTAAAACACTTGGAGGGCTTTTAAGATCCAAACCTGATGTCAAAGACTGGGATATCATATTGAAGAATGACATATGGAATCTGCTAGAGAATGAGTGTCAAATTATTCCAGCTTTGAGAATAAGTTATTACTATTTGCCTCCGTGCTTGAAACGATGTTTTGCTTATTGTTCAATGTTTCCCAAAGATTATGAGTTTGACAAAGAGGAACCTGTGTTAGTGTGGATGGCAGAAAATTTTTTACAACCACAAAAAGGAAACATGAAAGTTGAAGACATTGGTAATGAATACTTCTTCTGTCTGGTCTCAAGATCGTTTTTTCAATCCTCAAGCAATAAGAAAGAGTGTTTTGTTATGCATCACCTCATGCATGACCTAGCAAAATTTGTTGCTGGTGAATTTTGCCTTGCTTCTGAAGCTGATAATGAGCAAAGAATACCACAAAGAACCCGTCATTTGTCATATGATGCACTAAGCTACCCTGTCTTCAAGAATTTCCTGATGTTCTGTGAAGCAAAGCATTTGCGCACTTTTCTACCCATTTATTCAGACAACTATGGAGTGTTACCTTTACATGAAAGAGTCCCTCATCTCATATTCACAAAGCTTAGATGCTTGAGAGTGTTATCACTATCTGGATATGGCACCATTGAATTGTTGCCTGATTCAATTGGGGAATTAATTCATTTGCGCTATTTAGACCTCTCTAGGACTAAAATCAAATTGTTGCCTGACTCCGTGTGTGGCCTATACAATTTACAAACACTTAAGCTCACAGATTGCTTCTACTTAACCACATTACCTGAAGATTTTTTTCTTCTAGTCAACTTGAGGTATCTTGATATTAGGAGAGCAGGTATAGAAGGGATGCCTACAAGGATTGGTGAATTGAAAAGTCTCCAATTCTTAAGTGACTTTATTATTGGCAAAGAGACCAGGATTTCAGAGTTGGGAGAACTTGAAGATCTAACAAAATCACTAGCCATTAGTAGGCTAGAAAACACTCAAAATTCGGATGCAAAGATGAAGGACAAGAAATTCCTTGAGCATCTAGAGTTCAGTTGGAGCTCGAATTTTCTTGGTTCTATACCTCTAGGCTTTGAAACAAAAATACTTCACAATCTGCAGCCTCAAATGAACTTGAAAAGCCTTTCCATCAGAGGCTATCCTGGTTCAGAATTTCCAGTTTGGATAGGTCATAATGGATACCACAATATGGTTTCCCTCAGTCTGCATTGCTGTGATTGTTCTTTGCTACCACCACTTGGACAACCACCTTCTCTTAAGCATCTACTCATTCATAGTTTCCATGAAACATGCAGTATTGGTCCTGAGTTCTTTGGGACCAGTGAGTTGTCCTCCATGGCACCTTTTGCTTCCCTTGAAACTTTGATCTTTTCTGAATTGGAAAAGTTGCTTTCCTTTCAAGTTGAACCTCATGCTTTCCAACAACTCCGTGAATTTGAGTTAAGAAAGTGCACTTCATTGGTTGGAGATTTGCATAATAGCCTTCCTGCTTTGAAAAAGCTTGTGATCATTGGATGTAATAATCTAGTCTCTTCCCTCCCAACATTTCCTATGGTTCAAGAAATAGAAATACATCAAAGTGAAAATATAGTGTTGAAGGAGATCCCTATTTCGCTGCACTCACTCCGAGTTTCGGGATCAAACGTGGTAGATTCAGTTTTCATGTCCATGATGCAAAGTGAAAATTATCTTGAGCATTTAGAAATTTCTGATTGTTTCTCCACTACATCTTTTTCTGGGTGCTGCCTACCCAATTCTTTAAAAACATTGGAATTCAAGAATTGCAAGAATTTTGAAGTTCACATGTTTCAGTGTCATACGACACTTGAGTCCTACAAAATGCAAAATAGATGTGACTTAGTAGAATCCTTCCCAGTGGACATGCTCCCAGTTCTCAAGTGTCTCCATATAGAGGGTTGTGAAAATCTTGCATCTCTTTTGGTGGCAGAAGGCCCTATGGAGTATTTGGATAGCATCGCCATCATTCAATGTCCCAAATTAGTATCTTTCCATGAACTTGAATTGTATGCACCTAGATTGAGAAGCTTGACTATATCCAGGTGTGAGAACATGCTGCCTAATCAAATGCAGAGCCTTCTCCCAACACTCACAGAACTCTCCATTTGTGATTGTCCGGAAATTGAGTCTTTTCCTGAAATGGGTTTGCCATCAAGTTTAAGCTCACTTGTTATCACCAATTGCTTGAAACTTACTGCACTCAGAATGCAGTGGAATTTGCCAAGTACTCTTACCTCCCTTACCATTTCTGGCATATATGAAATTGTTGAGTCCTTCCCTGAGGATGGTTTGCTTCCTGACACTCTTACCTACTTGTCCATAGAGAAAGTCTTAATGCTCAAATTGGACTGCAAGAAGCTACAGTACTTAACCTCTCTCAAATACTTATGGATTGTAAATTGTCCTATGCTGGAATCCATGACAGAAGCAAGTCTGCCATGCTCTCTTATTAAACTTACAATTCGAAGTTGTCCCTTTCTAGAAGAAAAATGCCGTATGAAGAGTAGGGAAATTTGGCCTAAGATTGCTCACATTCGCAACATACGTATTGGAGATAAATGGATGTCATGAAGCATTTCATTGTGTACAGGTACTTGTTCTTACTATTATGTTACTCTTTTTTTTTCTCAATATAAAGTATCATTTTCTGAAATTCTTTTTATCATTCCTTTCAAATAAAATCTAGTATGCTTTGATTTGAATCTTATTATCTTTATATACGGCTTTTGATAATAATGCACATCAAGTTTTACATTTAGTTTATATTTGATACGCAAATTCTATAACTTTTCTGATTCCTTTTTCATTATTTCTAGCATCACTTGTATTTTACCCATCAACTAATCAATACAATCAGTAGGTTCAGATTTGGTAGAATACAAATTGATATTTTAGAATGCAATGTTTTCCAAAAATGTTTTCCCGTTCAATAACGCTTGCCCACATTCTCTTACTATAGGGATTTATATAGTCATTCCTATTGATTCTTACTTCATAAGAATGTAATGATTGTGATCTTGTGTTGAACATATTTTAGAAGGCAACATACCTCCTTTTTCAATTATTGATTGGCGTAACATGAGTGCTTGAAAATCAATCTTCAGACCCATTACATGAAGTTTGGCTTCTTTATCATAAACTTCAGTATATATCTACTGATTCATTAAATGATTGTCTAAATGAAATTGTGCCATCTTGTTTTCTTTTCTTTTTCCCCTTAAATTGCTTTACAAATACCATAGCTGTAACAAATTTGGGAATGTTACTAACAAGTTGAAGTGGTGGAGGCAAGGATAATGGATATGAAGCACATTAACATGTTATATTTGGAATGATTTTCAGGTTGTGAAAGAGGAGGTAACTTGGATAGACCATGTATCAAATTATTCAGTGATACAGCGGACTCCAAAACCTTGATTAGCCAAAGGTGTCTCCATTCACCAGTGATTGGAGAAAAGTCCACTCTAAGCAAGACACACATGCTCTCACAAGATCCTTATGAACCTGATTATAGTTTTGTAGACCTTATTTATCACATTCTGACTTATGCTTTATTCTTTAGAGTTTATTATGATACCTGCTCTAGGTAGTCATGCTGATTTTCTTACATGTTTCTCCATAAAACTTATGAAAATTGTCATGAAAATTTTGATATCAACATGAGGAAATTGAATTATTATTATTATTATTATTATTATTATTATTATTATTATTATTGATGATGATGATGATTACGGTGACAACATTGATAACTAAGAAACTGTCTGACAACATTGATTATTTTATAGGATCATATACTATTTATAAATCAGTTCTCATCTATTATTCTCATCAACCACACATTGCATGTTTGAAATTTTGAAAAACTTATCAGAAGTTGGCTTATTGTTCAGATGAATGCCATCCAATTTGATGAGCATTTTGAACAACATCCACCATACCTTCTAAGTTCCTATGCATGGGCATCCAATGGAAGAGTCCAACATTTGGATATAAAACAAATGGAATATAATTTTTCTTTTTAAAACAAAATGTTATGTTCACTAATTTATCATAATGTTTCAATACTTTTAATTTTGTACCATATCCGATGGTACATGCAGTTTTCCAGCCACCAAAGATTGGGTACCTACTACCTATGTTCAATCTCAAGTTCTGTCTGCCATTTTAAAAGAGCCAATATTTTTAACAAAACGCTTCTATATATAAAACATACACTAATTTTTCATTAACTTGATGGTTTTCGTATAGGTTGATTCAGATGCTTCATGGAGGGAGCATACGTTACTGGCCAAACATTTTTTCGTTTAACTTTCCCAGGGAAATTAATTAATTAGGAAAATTGAATGGTAAATTTTTTTCATTTATTTACTAAAATTAATTAGATGGTGATTATTATTTAATATATGATTAAAAATAATTTTAACCAAACTTTTAATCAAATGTTTTTGGTATAGAATAATAGTTTTTAATTAAATTTAAAAAATTTATTAATTTATAAGATTTTGGTATGGACCAAGTATTTTTCACTTGAAGCAATCAAGTCATTAAAACCATTATGGGAAACAAAATTCCCCTATCGAATATTTAACCAGAAATTTTAAAAAAAAAGTAAAATTTCAATAATTTTCACAAAACAAATATATTATTTAATTTTTACTACACCTAACTAGCAGTAGTATCTAAGGTAATTATTCCAAAGCAGGTGAGCTTCAAACTATGTTGGTGATTAAATTATATTTTGTGCCAATATTCACGCGATTTTCATTGCACATTTTCCTAACTAGCCATGTTTGCTGATCGTAGGCACTTTCCCACGAGTCAGTGTTTATATTTATCATTTTATACATTAATAAATATGTATTTTTATTTAAATATTTAAAGACAGCAAAATTTGTGTTATATTGAATTATACCTTTCACATTTAATTTTTATACACATAATCAATTATTTATTACTAGAAATATACTAGACTAAACTTTGCATAAGTCTGATCTATTTAATATCTTTGAAGTTTGAGCATAAAAAAATTATTGCATATTTCCATATCACTATAGTCCTAACCAATTAAAGCATGACACATATACACTTTAACAAAATATTGGATACGTGATGAAATGTGAGCGGTTGGAACCATATGGCTTCAAACCACCTAAAATTTTTATTTAAACATGACTTATTATTATCTGTTATAAATTATATATTAAATTAATTTAATTTTTTTAAAAAATTTATTTTATTTTATTAGTCTTTTTAATGTCTTACTTTTTATTGTAACATTTAATAAGTTATCAAGTGTCTTTATAAATAGATTATCAAATTATTTAAATAGGTATCTCTTTTAAAAATCATAAATATAAATAGGTTATCAAATAATCCAAATATGTATGTTTTTATAAAAATTATAAGACTTATATCTAAATAAATCATAAATTAATATATTATTTTATATAATGTTAATATTATAATTTTAAAGTTTAAATTTAAATTTAAATTTGTAAGTGAACAAAACTTAGTTCTTTATTTTTAATCGTTATTAAATTAATAATTCATAGACTTTTTATATTTTCTATTTTTTTTACCTTGCATAACCATTAAAGATAATAGTTTAGAAAAATATTATTAGCATTACATAACTATTCAATGTTAATAGATTTAGTATGAATAATTAGCAATTATAAAAAAAAATTAGAATTAATCTAAAAATAAACATAAAAAAATGTAAAGATAAAATCATATGTATTAAAAATTTTCTCAATTAATTTATAGTCATAGATTATGTTATTTTAATTCACTTTAATTACTTTTATATTTGAATTTGTGTTTTATTTAATTTCATATTTCTTAAGTTTAAACAATTAAGATATTTTTATTATTTGAAAACAATTTGTATAAAACAATATTTTGGAAAGTTTTATTTTTACAATAGATAAACATCGTCAAACATATATTATATATATATTAATTTAATTATTTATTTTTTGATTATGTTTCCTTTATAATTACTCTTTTGTTATAAATTTTGTATTTTTAATCTACATTTTCATTAATAATTTTATTTTTATTACTATTAGTAAATGCCAAGGATTGGCCCACGCAGTGAAAACACTTGTAGATCTTTTAAGTTCATCCTTGGTGTGGCCTGCCTCTGTATTCTCGAATCACATAACATGTGACGAGGGAGTGAAATTTATAAATCAGTTTTCATTTATTGTTCTCATCAATCACATTGCATGTTTGAAAATTTGAGAAACTTATGAGGAGTTGCTTCTTCCCTTGTTGTTCATGTGAAATATCATCCAATCTGATAAGCATTGGAACATTATGACTTTTATAAGTTTTCTTTTATTTAGTATAATTTATTAAAATTAGGTGACTGTGACGTATTTTAATAAGTTCCGTAGTAAACTTTATAGTATAAGCACGCGTACTCAATGATAATGAAGTTAAATAGGGGAAGATAAATGCTAATAGAAGTTTCAAAAATTGACTTCATTTAGTCGTGTGCAAGGCATTTGTGACCCACTCTAAGGAGGCACCAACTACTTTAATTCCTAAGATGCACTAACATGGAGAGCTACCAATGAAGCATAAAATCCTCCATCAATCTTCATCAGTGCATCGTGTGTTCCCTTCTCAGCAATTGCCCCATTTCTTACAACTGCTATAATGTCAGCACCTTTAATTGTAGCAAGACGATGAGCTATTACTATAGTAGTTCTATTCACACTAACTCTATCTAGAGCCTCTTGAACTATGCGCTCTGATTCAGCATCAAGTGCACTAGTTGCCTCATCAAGCAAAAGGATTCTGGGGTCTTTCAAAATGGCTCTTGCAATGGCTATACGTTGCTTTTGTCCTCCTGACAATTGTGTCCCTTTTTCTCCAACGGATGTGTCATAACCATTTGGAAGAGAACTTATGAACTTGTGTGCATTGGCTGCTTTTGCTGCTGCAATTATCTCTTCCTCTGAAGCACCTTCCTCTTTGCTATAAGCTATGTTGGCACGAATGCTTTCATTGAAAAGAATTGGCTCTTGACCAACCAAACCCATTTGCTGCCTCAGCCAACTTAATTTAAACTTTTTGATCTCCACTCCATCAAGTAGTACTTGTCCAGAATCAGGGTTGTAAAATCTCTCTAAGAGGCTCACAACTGTTGATTTTCCACTGCCACTTTCTCCAACCAGGGCAATTGTCTACAGAGATATATATCAACAATGTTATTATGATGTTTTCAGCTTATTCTAATAAGTTTCATCATTAAATTTATAACACAAGTCATCGTTTAAAAAGAACTTATTAAATAAGTGTTTAAATAAGTTGAGTATCCAAATGCTCCCTATATATCTCATATTCTCAAATAAGTTGATGTATGATCCCAAACTTAATAATCAGAATAGTAAAGTAGTGATTACCTTTCCAGCTGGAATGCTTAGACACATATCTTTGAAAATTTGAATATTTTGCCGTGTTGGGTATCTAAAGCTGACTTGTTGAAGTTCAATATCACCTTTTATGGTGTCTAGTGTCATGCCCTCATCACTGCTTGAGTCAATCTCTGGTTTGCT